AAATATTCTAAAGCAAAGTTTCGCCCTGATGCTAATGCAGCTACTTACAAAGAAGACCAACATATGTGTGAAAATATGAAGCCAAACCCTGCTGACAAACTATTATTTTGCACATGTGAACACTGCGGCTACCTTGCTGCACTTTGCAGCCAAACTACTGCCTGGTGGCACTTGTTTTATTTGCACCAGCGTCACGGCACTTTCTGACCTAGATAGAAAAAAGGGAAGCAAAGAGTAGCTCATGCACCAATATGTTAAGTACGATGACGCAAACAGCGCGTTTACTGAAGGGTTTTGATGTGATGCTATGTGCGTAGGGTACAGTCAAAACAGGGAACATGTTCCGTACATCTGTGGCTTTCCACTTGTGAATGAAAATGCACGCTGTGCATTCTGGGAAGTGTGCAGTAATGGGGATTGGTGATTCACCGTGCTACAGACTGAATCTGCTTAAATCTAAAGTATGTAGAGTGTATTTTCTCCCCTAATTCTTTCCTTTTTTACTGCAAGGGACATTTTTTTTAACCTAGAATGAGGGGAAATGTGGCAGAAGCTAAACACAAAAAAAACCTCTCCTCTGCGCCTCTAAGGTCACATCTCTCAGTTTCCTGTGTGCGGTCGCTGCTGTGCCCCACAGAGAGACGATGTGGAGCTCTAAGGTACCTGCTCAAACTGCTCTTTACTTCTTTATTTGCCTTTAACATGCAAATGAAACGGTTGAGAATGCAACTTCCTTCTCAAATTTGTGACAGCCCAAAGAGCCTCTTCAGCCTGAAACAAACACAGAGGCAATCTCTAATAAGTCAAGTATCATCCCCAAAATAGAAACCTTATGAGGGTATTTTTAAACTCCTATCAGAGCCTAAAAATGTTTTCTGCTTTTTTTGATCTCTATCGACCGAATGCGGCGATGAAAGTGACGTGGCACGAGCATGAACGGTTGCTCCTGGTCTGCTTTTAGTGGCTCTGAATACCCCAGAGTGCACTTCTCTCCTGTAATAGCAATGAGAACAATGAGAAGGAGCCACTGCACCGCTTAATGGTTTAATGTATGTATGACATAACTGAGAGAGGTACTTTGCGATTTGGTACAATGAGCTTGAATATATATTTCTGGAAGGGGGCATTTCACAACACGGAGTAAAAAGTGGGATTGTATTCATGTGGGCTGTGTTAACAGCAGATGCTTACATAAATATGTCTCATGAAGATAGCAGCTTCCACATATTTTAGGACTATTACATCAGGGGCGCGTTGTTGGACATGCCTAGCTCTGTTTCCCTCTCTCTACACAGAAGACATGATACCCATCAGAACAATTACAACATCGTTTATTTAAAAGGTCTAAAGCGTGATTCACGGTTATGTCTTTTTGTACACGAAGGGCCAATTTCTCAGTTCGTCCTTGATTTCACACTCAAAAAGCTGATGGGTTTTCTGACAGGTTTTGAAAGTGCTCGAAATTTTCCTCGTGTAATTTATGAAAATCTAACAAAATTGTCCCATGCACATGCGAGTGCGTGCAGCAGAAATCACAGGGGGGAACCGTTTTAATAGTTAAGTATTTCGATGCTTATTTTCAAAAAGACAATAGCCCATGAGGATTGACTCCCGAGACGGTAAAACTCTCCCTGAATATTTGTCATGCTGATTTATCTCAACTGTGCAGTCCTACTTTAGCTGACGCTGTGAATCGTGAGTCATTCTCCAACATTTATTATGCCGCTTTCTATTTGTGCAGCTGAATAGGTGGAGAAGGGCAAAAGCCTTGACAAAAAACCCCCCCAAAGAGGCCTGATCTTGCAGGAGATCACCGGTCAGCAGTAAGCAGGTGACAGCAGAGAGCACGAGCTAAGAGGATCTACCTTGTGGCTAATGCTGCCGGCATCCTGCCATCAGATGTGAGGAAGTCTCCACCTCCGACAGCCCTTCCTAACTGAGCACCCACAGGGAGCCTGCTGGGGTGTAGCCATGCAAAATGGCTCCAAAACAAGCGGAGTGACATAATGCTGAGTAAGACCAGGACAAAATCTGCCCGGTAACCTCGCGATATGTTTATCTGATTCTCACTGAGTGCAAAACCAGATAAAAATCGCTTTGATCAAACGGGGGAGCTTTGTGGTGCAGAGCGAATTCAAAGTAACACTTTGGCAGCATTCATGCTGTCAGGTGAGGACTGTCATCTATTTGCTGTGTGGACAAGAGAGTCACTTCAGGCATCGTGGTTTAATTCTGAGCAGGAACACGGTATGAAGCAAACCTGAAACTATGGGCTATACTGTTTCTGTTATCAGAGGAGACGGTTGGTATAAACAGCAGCTGAAGGAGAGCAGGACAAATTTATGGCGTCGCCAACAAGGAACAATAGAAGCTGACAGCTCTGCATCCACATGACGCTCGCATGTACAGAGCCCAGCTCTCTTGGTTCTTGTTTGGTTCAGGAAATGAAAACGGGCCGATCGATTCAAGAGTCTCCCGCGACTCTGCTCCCCTGCTACTCAACCAGATACAGAATGAGTCCCACTGAGGAAGCCTCTCATGGGAGAGGACACATAGGGTGCCGCATTAAAACACACACACATTGTCAGGGCTGCTGAAAGCTGCCTGCTCGCTGTATGCTTTTGGTTGTGGATATTTCATTTTCTATATATGAGGGCGGCCAAGAACAAAGTGTCAGGTTAAAGGTCGCTTTTAGCATTTGAGAATTTATATCAAATGTGTAAAATAACCAATGTAATACATATACAAACTTCATAAAGGCAGACTAGCAAGTGGGCCCAGGCCAAAATAGACTCCATAATGTGCTCATATTCTGGATGTCATCATATACAGAAATGGAGCTGAGTCAGATAATTAGCCAATCAACTGCAGCAGATGTGAGGGCTGATTAATCATAAAGTAATGCCATGGTGTAAGATTTTTCTTTTTTTTT